TCGAAGGGTAAAACTTGCCCAGAGAAGCTGGGGATGCCCCATCTCTGCAGCCTGATCTAGTGAGTGTGCCATCTCTGCCCATGGCAGGGGGTTGGAAAGAGAGGATCTGTAAAGTCCTTTCCGACCCAAACCATTCTGTGATTCATTGTAAGTCTAGACAAGGCTTTGCTGAAAGGACCTGGCATCTATATGGGTGGCTTTTTTAGAAATAAAGATTTATGCACATAACTCAAAACCCATAAATAAGATATCACTCTCCCAGCAGAATAATCAAAATAAAATTAAAAGGGCAAACAGCAAATGAATATTGTATTTTTCTCTGCCTGTCACCATTCCTCAGCAGCAAATGAGAAATAACTGTGAATCTGCTTCACCTTAATGAACTTAACTGGGTCTTTTCAATATGGGGTAAAATATTAACATTTTATTCCAATAGCTGCATCCTCCTCCTCCTCTAGCCAGGCTGTGATTATCACAGTCCAAACACAAAGGGACTTGAAAACGTACATCCAAGGAGTGCTGCTGCCCCTCAGGTGGGTACAGCCTCAGGCACGGGGCCCTGCAGCCCACAATGGTTTCTTTTTAAGGCTTATTTTTAATCCTTTAAAAACAGGTTCACACACGGGGCAGCCAGCTAATCACACGTGTCTCAGTGCCCTGCCTTGTTTTCTGGGAAACAAAGACCCCTCTGGTCTTTGCTGCCTTCTGATGAGGGCTCATCACTGTGCCCCCACACCCAGGCAGCACCCAACACCCCTGCTCTGACAAACCCCACCCCAGCCAGAGCTTGGCTTTCCTCAACACTAATCCCAGTTACAAGAGGAAAGGTTTTCCAGCAACAGCACCACCATGTGAGACTCGGGGATGGTTCCTCTGCTTTGAGCTGATCTCGGCAGCCTCGTGGGTTCAAAGCCAGGGAGAGGCCATTTCCCTGCTGGGCAACAGCAAATCCATGGGCAGTTTATTCCAGTTGCATCCACAAAGGGCTTGGATACGGCAGAAAGCAGCGCTGCACGTGGAAGGGGGCTTGTGCTTTGCCTGTCTGGGTTAAATGTGCTTCTCCCACTTCCAGCAGGAGAGAAGTGGAGTTTCCAGCCGTGTCAGGCAGCTGGGAATGGGATGTGGGGAGATGGGGGTGGCACAAACCAACCTGCCACAAAGCCACAGCTCTCCCTGCCCGCAGTAAAAGGCACAGCTCTGTTTCCCCCCACCTTGGGAGGAAGATTTTGTAGCTGCCCATCAGCACCTTCCCGGGGACTGTGGCTGCACCTCCATCCCAGTGTCACCATCACCCTTTCAGATGTTAATGCTGAATAACAGAATAACCCACTGCCTTGTGGGATCTTCCCTGCAGCGCCTGCAGGAGAATTATGGATGCCCTCTGGGAGCTGGGGAAGCTGAACTAAACGCTCCACGATTCTGGTCGTTGCCATTATCGTTCATTTTTTTGCCTCGCACGTTTTTAGTGCTTCTCCCTCCAGCTCCAGCCCTGCAGCTCAGACACACCAGTGTACAAACTGCATAGGACAGGGCAGCTCTGGGGCCCTTATTTCATAGAAAAAGTGGTTTAGTGTATCATAAGCACCTCAAGAGGGTAATTTAACAGGGATTCAAGGCCACACAAACTCTGCTACCCAGGTGTCTGACAGAGGAATAGGGAAAGAATGTCTCCACTCTGCCTCTTCCCACCTACTTCAGCATGCACAGCTAAATTCCAGTGCTTTCCCACAACTCCACATGCTCTGGGGGATCCCAAGAACATTTTTCTTGACATGAAAAGCTCAGAGAATTGGGATTGTTCAGCCTGGGGAAGGGAAGGCTTCAGGGTGACCTAATTGCAGCCTTGCAGCGCCTGAAGGGAGCCAAAAGAAAGATGGAGAGGGACTATTGACAAGGACCTGGAGGGACAGGACAAGGGGGAATGGCTTCCCACTGGCAGAGAGGACGTTCAGATGGGATATTGGGAAGAAATCCCTCCCTAGGAGGGTGGGGAGGCCCTGGCACAGGTTGCCCAGAGAAGCTGTGGCTGCCCCATCCCTGGAAGTGTCCAAGGCCAGGTTGGAGCAACCTGGGCTAGTGGGAGGTGTCCCTGCCCATGGCAGGGGGTTGGAATGAGATGATCTTTCGGGTCCCTTCCAACCCAAACCATTCCATGATCACAGTTCCACGATCAGAGCAAGTGCAGGAGATTCACAGCCCTTTTGGCATTCCAGAATTTTGGAAACATGCCTAGAAACAGGGACAAGCATCCCAGGCTGGCATTTCTAGTGACACCTGAGCATCAGTTTGGATTTGTGGAGGCTTTGACCACAAACTGCTTCTCTGGTGGATGAAACCCCAAAGCACTGGAACAGTGTCCACCAGCTGAGCCAGGGGTGGATGGGGTAGCAAAACAGCAAGTTTCACCCCAAAAAATACCCTTAATGCTAGAGCTGTGTCTTGCTTGTTGTATAAAGTTTGCAAAGCTGGGAGGCAGAGGCAGGGAAGGGATTTACAGAGGCAGTTACAGACAGGAGCACTTTAAAGAGCTACAGGAGGCCTTGCAAGGATTTTGCCAGTAGATCATCTGTCAGTGCTGCTAGTTAGGGCAATGCCATGGATAAACTACAACTTTGGCTTGTATATGAATTTTAAATGAGCTGTTAGCACACCCAATGAATCCAGCCAGAGAATGCCAATTTAGGGCCCTGACTGTCTGCTCTGTGAGACCAAGTAAATAACTCAGTAAATAACTCAGGCAAATTTCCTGACACTTTATTGAGCATGAGTGAACAAACAGAAAACAAACCCAGGATTAATTCTACAGGCACTGTGTGCTGCAGGAAAGCAGGGCTGGGGGAGATGCCTTTCTCCAGCTTTTGGTGGGGTTGGATGCAACACAACACCTTCAAGGGCACACCTTGGGCAAGCACAAACTACTGGGGTCCCGAGATATTTTGGGAGGCTCTTTCCAGAGCTCCAGGATGTCTCAAGGCAGTTCCTTACACACCTCCTGGAGCTCTTAAAACTGCTCAGAACATGTTCATCCCTGCCTGCTCCCTCATACCCTGAGCACAACCAACTTCTGAGCACCTGTGGAGATGATGCTTCACCAAGACAGACCAGGTCAGCTGGCTGACAAACAAAAGACACTCCTAGGAGAACATCCCCGTTTTGGATAAAGCTTTTAGAGCTGGTTTTTCCCCCACAAAGGTCTCTAGAACAGTGTTAACAAGGAGGCTTTCTGCAGGACTGGAGCAGAAGGGAACACACAGAAAAGAGGTTGAAAAAACAGTTTGCACTGATGTTTTTTTCCTGTGTGTGTCAAGGAGAGAAATCAAGCAAAGACAGCCTCGTTATATGCATCCAAAGGCACAGGGAAGGTCACCCTGTAGCCAGTGCTCTGCTCCCTTTTCCTGCCCAGATGATGCCTCTGAAGCTCACTGCAATGCAACACTCACTGTGGGCACCGTCCAGGCCAGCAAAAATTCACTGTGTGCTCAAAGACGAGGCAATCTGCTGCCTACGAACTCCACTGGGAAATTCCAGGGCCAAGATCCACCCAAAACCCCAAAAAGCAGCAGCAGGGAAGCTCAGGGCTTGGTTCACAAGCCAAGTGCCCCTGACTCAGCACCGCTGTGTTTGCTCCTGCCTGGAAGGGAAGTGCTGCAGGGAAAAATCCTCTTCTTCCTGGTGAAGAAGCCACCAGGACATTGCCCATGTTCACCTCCCATGACTGACCATCTAACTGTGCATTTCAGCAACCAGATGGTTGTTTGAGGATTGTTTTAAACATTAGCTTGCATTTTCTTTGACTATTTAAATGTTCGTTCTGGTCTGTTTTTTCCTTTCCTGTGCAGAGCCCTGATTTATGTTGCTAGAGCCCCACATCTCCCTGCCTTGCCAAAAGCACGCATTTGGGAATGATTTCAGGGCCGCCAGTAATATTTTCCCCCCCTCTTTTTATTTTCTGCTTTATTTTTATTAACTTTTTTGTTGGAGGCGCCGTAAAAACCAAACTGTGTCTCGAAGAAACAACACTCATCAAACCCCCAACAAGTCCACATGGAGAACCCCCTGAGTGCACAGACTCCTCCCTTGCCACATCTCTGAGCTGCTTCGTGCTCCACCAGCAGAGGGAAGAGGTAATTTTACTTCAGGTGTCACCTGTGAAAGGTGCAAATGGGGGACAGGAATAGATTTGCTTCTTATCTGCAGCAAAGAGTTAATAAAGCCAGCTGGGAGCTCCAGAGAGAGCAGCCTGGAGAAGCAGTTTCCCTTCTAAACAACAGAGCCAAGTGTCAATACTTTGAGGCAAGTTTCATTACAAGCTTTCTGGATGCATTTCTGTCTCCTAATCCTGCACAGGCAGCGAGGGAAGATGATGGTGCCTCTGCCTGAACGCTGTTTAATACAACCCAAAGCAGACCAAATGCACAGGATTTTCTTACATATGGAGAAATTGGGATTTTTTAATGTCCTCGCGGCATCGCTTAACCGGGGGCAGTTCGGGCTCAGAAAACTCCTTGCTCATCAACAGAGGACAAATACATTTGTGACAGAAAACTATTTCATTTTATGTGGAGCTTAGGGGTGGTAGGACACGGCACAGGGGGCAAGTTGAATTCCTCAGTGTGTCTTTGAGGAGCGGCTTTCAATTTATACAACACGAGATTCCCATCAGGCAACGTTAACACCACGAAAATCAGTGCTAAGGCGCATAAACTCACCACAAACCGAATTTCATTTACAACAGGGAGGAGAGAGCGTTTCCAAAATGCAGGTGGGACATTTGCAAGTGGAAGGAGAGAACATTTCCAAAAATGCAGGTGGGACATTTGCAAGTGGAAGGAGAGAACATTTCCAAAATGCAGGTGGGAGCTCAGCTGATGAGTCGACCCCACCTGAACAGGGAGCACCCCTCGGAGGCAGGGAAGCCTCCCACAGCATTCCCTGCTCCAAGAATTCCTACACAGAGTGGATGGTGTGGAAACACGAGTCAGAGCAAGGTCTGTACTCACCAATCCTCAGGGAATGGGGGCTGGCAGAGATCCTCATCAGCCACAGCAGAAGGAGCACCAGAGGCGCCAAGACACGGGGCATCTTCCATAAATCCTCATGGAGCCCTTTGGTGGTCTGGGCATGACATAACTCTGCAGAGACACAACACATGGCCCTGTGAGCACCTCTGCTCCCCCAGCAGCCCCTCACCAGCAGGGTGGCACTGCCCCCAGCTCGCCAAGCACTTGGGGACAAAGAATCTATTTAGCAAAGCTCCTTGCGGACCATGGATTATTCAGGAATTGGAATCAAACCGGGCAAAGAGCTTCTAACAACAACAACGACAACAAAAATATAAATGAAATTGAAAAGGAACACAAGGAAAAGTCCAAATATTTCATCTTGGCATTTTTGGCATTTCAGCAAAAACAAGTGGAAATCAATACTGAGTCACATCTCTAACTTCTATTCTCGCCCACCTCCCCTTTTTTTTTTTCCACTCAGAGCAGCCTGAAACTCAAAATATAAAACTGGCTTCTGGTTTTGGGATGGGACAAAACATTTTCATACCAAGACATAATGTGAGGAATGAGTGTAGGCACAGACAGAGAGTCACTCTGGCCTCACCAAACTAAAAACCAATTCTTGGTAATGCTCCTGCCCCAATGACAGTCACACCTCCTTCCCTCCCTTTCAGGAACAAGAGGATTCAGCACAAAACCAAGATCAGGACCATCTTTTTTCCACCCCACCACACAGAGGTCTAAGTTCCAAACTCAAAACACCATCAAAATGAAGAGCAGAAGGCAGAGAATCCACGGATTTATCACTAGCACAGATATTGGCACTGGCTGTCCCAGAGCAGACTCCCACAGCACAGTTCAACAAAATTTGTAACATATTCCATTTTAAACAGCTACATGGAGGGTTGAGTTTTACTTTGTAGAAAAAATGGTTGTCTCTGGAGTTGATAAAATTATCTCCACAGGCAGCAATGTCCTTAAATGCTGACTTTGAGTGTTTCATCTGTTACCTTATCTCTCCCTTCTCCAATTTTCTGGCAAACATTCTCACACTATTCCATTTGTCTAATTCTTGGGCCAAATATTAAAGTCCTGACACAGGCAAAGTCTTTAATCTGCCTTTGAAGTTACCAGGAGTTTTGTCCGAAAAAAAAAGATGTAGCTTTTTACTTGCAATTTTTCAATTAATCTATTTTTAGATTACATTTAGACTTCCTCCAGCTTATCTCAGCAGTCTCCATAGGGACTATCCCTTTTTACAGACAGGAAACACTGAGACATGGCCACAGAAATAAAGACAATACAGGGAGCACTGGGACATCTCCACTCCTTGGGGTTTGATCATTTTCTGGATCACGTTTCCCTCGGGAAGCTCCCACCACCAGCGCTGCCTTCTGCATCCCAATCCTCTCTGTTCCAGAAAATTGAGGGATCCCATGCTCAAATGTCAGCTGCACACTGGAAGGGCATCCTGATTTCAGTGTGCTCAACCCACTTTTAAAAAGCAGAAACTCCTCCAAACCGCCTGGAAATCATCAACCACCCCTGAGAAGGGCAATGGCAATTTTCTCCTTTATCTTTTTCTTTTTTTTTAAAAAGTGGGAGTTACAGAGTAATTCCTGAGGAGGAAAAGCCCTAAAAGGTTAAGCACACGGGAAATTGGTTCCTTGGAAGCGTTGGCAGCGGCAGAGACAGGTTGTGGAGCAACATATCATTTGAGCACTTTGAAGCAGTTATTTTAAAACTTTCCAAGAAACTGAGGAAAAAACCAGCAGGATCAGGTCAGATTTACTCACACCAGTGGAAGTGTGAGGTCCTGGCTGAGGAACTGGTGCTTGTGGCAGCTCAATTGGCAAAACATCTCAAAACATCTGGTACAGGACCTCAGAGCTGTCCTGTTCCCCTAGGGTGGGGAAAGGCAGGCACAAACCCCACGATTCCCAGAGAAAGTGCAGGGAAATGCCTGCCTGCTGTTTGAGGAGGATGCTGGAGTTCACATCCCCATCATTCTCTGCCAAAGCCCTGTGGAATCACTTCAAGGAGGACATGGAGGGGCTGGAGCGTGTGCAGGGAAGAGGATGGAGCTGGGAAGGGGCTGGAGCAGCAGGAGGGGCTGAGGGAGCTGGGGGGGCTCAGCCTGGAGAAAAGGAGGCTCAGGGGGGACCTTCTGGCTCTGCAACCCCCTGACAGGAGGGGGGAGCTGGGGGGGGTCGGGCTCTGCTCCCAGGGAACAAGGGACAGGAGGAGAGGGAACGGCCTCAGGCTGTGCCAGGGGAGGGTCAGGTTGGACATCAGCAGGAATTTCCTCATGGAGAGGGTTTTCAAGCCTTAGAAGGGGGATTTGGAGTCCCCATCCCTGGAGGTGTCCAAGGAATGCCTGGATGTGGCACTCAGTGCTCTGGGCTGGGGGACAAGGTGGGGATGGGGCACAGGGGGACTCGATGATCCTGGAGGGCTTTTCCAGCCTCAGTGATTCTGTGACTCCGTGAATCACCAACCCCAAACGAGTGGTTCTCATTTTAGACTCTGCAAAGACGAACTGCACAAGGTCTGGGAAAAGGTCCTGTGACTTCCAGCTCTGAGGGAGAGACCCCAAGGCCCCCTGTCCTGTTTGCAGCCAGGTTTGGTGAGCAGCTGAATGCAGAGGTTTCCAGGGAAGCAGCAGCTGCCTGTGCACCACCAGCTCAGAGTTAACAGAAAGCTAAATAATAAATACAGGGCACCTGCTGGGCTCTGCTCCACGAGCAGCAGGGCTGTAATTACCTAGAACATGGAGCACAGGGGGATGCTGCCTCCACCTAACACATTCCCCACTGCTCCAAACGGCTTCCCAGCACTTGGATGTTTGAGCACGAGCCCTGGGAACAGCTGGGAGTGAGAGAAACACACCTTGGGCTTTGCCAGACAGCAGAACCAGGCAGGCTCCTACGAGCAGTGCCCACGGACCATCTGGCTGATGGAGGGGCTTGGAAAATACCTGGGGAGTGCAACACCAGGGTGCTCCCCCATCACACCACACCTGCACTGCTGAGCAGCAGGGACAGAGGCTGGGATCCAAGATTTGGGATGAGAGGGGAAGGGGAGAGAGGATTTTTCCCTCCTAGCCCAGCAGCAAGGCTTCTGCTCTTGAAGGGGTTTCTTCACCTGCCCAGTCCCCACATTTCACCTGCCTCCTCCTTTTGAAATTCAGGCATGAAAGGGTGGTAAACATAGTTCACTGTAAAGTAATTTTTGCCTTGCTCACCTTCCCAGGCAGCTTTTGCATCCTTGCAGCTGCAAGGTGCACATCTGGGTGCCTCTCACCTCCCCAGGAGAAGCCATAAAACATCCCTCCTGCCCAGGTGCACCGAGGAACTGTAGCTACAACTGGGATTCCAGCGCAGGCAGTCAAGATTTAGGATGAGAGGGAAAGGAGAGAGGGGATTTTTCCCTCCTAACCCAGCAGCAAGGCTTCTGCTCTTGAAGGTGTTTTTTCACCTGCCCAGTCCCCACATTTCACCTGCCTACTCCTCTCGAAATTCAGGCACAAAACGTAGTTCAAACCCTTCACTATAAAGTGATTTTTGCCTTGCTCACCTTCCCAGCAGCTTTTGCATCCTTACAGCTGCAAGGTGCACGTCTGGGTGCCTCTCACCTCCCCAGGAGAAGCCATAAACCATCCCCTCCTGCCCAGGTGCACCAGGGACTCAGAGGTACAACTTTGGGTATTGACTCCAGTGCAGCTCAAAATTCTGCACAGAGAGGGAGGGAAGATAACTGTCCTTCAGAGAAGGAAGCCAAGAAAACACTTAAGAGGCAAGGATATATAGCAACTTGCTGCACTAAGCCTTGTGCATGTGAAGATGACTTATCCCAAACTCATCCCCGGCACAGTTTGCTGAAAATAAATCAAAGCAACTTCCTCTGCTGAAGTTCCCACCAAGAACATGTCACAGCCTGTACATTTACAGCTCCTGCTGTAATGGCTCCTCTTTACTGTACTGACAGCATGCTATGATAGCCTGCTTGATGGACAGCTGTTTATGGAGCACTCTCAATCTGCTACCCCCAGAAGGAGTGGGATGCTTGGAAAAGAGTTTGCTGGGTCCTTGAGGGTGGTGGGTGCATTGCTGAGGAGCTGGTGGATCATGAGCTGACCCCTGGCTGCCCTCTGTGCAGCACCAGTACGTAATTCTTTCTCTGTTAAGCCCCTTTTTTCATCTCTAGCTCGGAAAATTCAAGAGAATAAAATAAATCAGGGCTATCCTGAAGAGTTTTGCGTTCTCTCTGGAGATAAAAGTCTCTAAATACCAAGCAGAATTATGGACGATTTGCTTCTCGGAGGGAGCAACTTGCTTCTGAAACTACTTATGCATTTTTAATGACTGTGTGAGATGGTGCTGCTCTTCACTGCTATCACCACAGAGTCCTGGTATTTGGAGATTTTTGCAGAAAAATTCGTAGACAGTGGAGCAAAAGCCAAAAGGCAGAAGAAAATGTTAAATCACGCCGAAGAAAAACCACCCTCCTCAAGCTGCCATGCTGATAAGGAAGAGTCCCTGAAAAGCAGCCACCTCCCTACTTGTTCCCTCTGCCCAGCCTGCCAAGGACACTCAAGAAAATCCAAGTACATTGTTATTTCATAGAATCACAGGATGGTTTGGGTTGAGAGGGACCCTAAGGATCATCTCATTCCACCCCCTACCATGGCAGGGATGCCTTCCACTCATCCAGGTTGCTCCAACCTGGCCTTGGACACTTCCAAGGATGGAGCAGCCACAGCTTTTCTGGGCAAAATCTCCAAAACCACCATCACCCTGCAGAATGTGACCATCACCTGCCGGATTTCCCACCAGCTCTGCCACATCTGGCCCGGGAGAGGGGCTGCAATCCCAGCAGGACAGGGCACAGCATCTCCAGCTTGCACCGGGAGGCAGCGCCAGGACCAGGCTTTCCAAAAAAAACTCCCGTGTGTGCTTTATCCTGATGCAAACCCTCTGGAGAAACCACAAACACCCTTTAAAAAACTTGGCAGCGGCTTCTCCAGGCGCTGGGGAGAGGCAGAGGCAGAGTTTTACCCCCAACGCGAGCTTTGGGTGTTGACGGATCTTTCCGTGCAGCCCGAGGAGTGGTGAGAAAACACAGCTCTG